TCTGGGGTCAAATTTTGATGACAGCTCATACAGTTTTAAAAACATTTTTTTTTATTTTGATACCTGTTTCGTGACTCATAAGATTGGAGAAAGTTTTTCAAAACAATAGATGTCCCTTTTATATATAATACACTTCTATTATTTTAATTTCGATTAATTTCCCTGAAGAAGTTTGGAACAGTTTGTCGAAGGAAACATTGGAATTCATTATTTCATTTTCTCTGAGCTTTTACAATTATAATATTTATATATGTCTACTTCTCACTCGGTGCCCAATTATTTGGGTAACTATTCGGTCAAATCTTGATCACAGTTCATATGAACAAATATGTTGGTCAGATCAACTAAATCTGGTTACCAATAGCCGTTACTATCTAGTCATGTTTAATGACAAATTATTATTGTTACTATGACTGGTTTGCGATGACATTTGACTTAGAGTCCACTAATAATCCTGAGCTTTAGTGCGAACTGTTAATTCCTCAAACCCAGCGTGTTACATTCATTATACTGTTAAACAATGCAACTAAGGAAGGACAAGAACAATCTGTTCGGATGAATGTCTTGATGAGGAACTTGATAATTTTCAACGGTTGCTGAGTGAGAGCTGTTATCCAGAAAAGTTCATTTATAAGAATATGAATCAGAAATCAAGGCAGCCCAGGGTACCAACAGCTCGTAAACAGGCCTTATTCTTACAAATTCAATCCCTTGGGGATAACATCAGCGAGATATTAACACACGACACCTTAAGAGGTAAAAAGAGCATCTCTGCTGCTGAATTACTCTTTGTCTTCAAAACCACCCCTACTTTGCGTTCGAGAGTAAAAGTTAAACTTCCTAACTTTGCCTCTTTCATCTGTATCTACTAATTTAACTGCTCCTGTGGAGTGAGCCACTTACATAGGCCGTACAATTAGGCGTGTTTCTCATAGGATTTCTGAACATCTCCCTGCGTGGTTAAGTGAAGGACAAACAAAATCCATTCATAGGTCTATTCTATCTTATCTTGTGGATACAAAACACAAGATTGATTTTAACCGGGCTTTCAAAGTCAACTATCGCATAGTAACTAATAATAACTTTACCTTAAGAGTTCGTCTACTACATATTTATGTATCCAAAACAGGCTGGTTCAGACACTGTCTCTATCTGGGCCATCAAAGTTGTAAAGATCCTCAATATCCTTAATTTTGGTTGATATTCTTTTGGCTATTATATTTGTATGCTTAATATAATTTCAGCATCTTTAATGAACTGTAATTCCATTGTGCTCTTACTTTACACATCGATATTATTTAAAAAATACTAATTTGGTTATTGACTACTATTCAAGAATATTCTATGTACATAAACATTTATGTATATGTGCGTCGGTGGCACAGTGGTTACAACTCTCCCCGACCATGCACGTGGTCCGGGGTTCGAGTCCACGCCGACGCACACCCAATATCTATGGTCGGCCTGCGAATTTCGGGCTACCGATATCCACGCTGAAAATTCCATACTTGTACCAAAAATCCGGTGTGGAATCAAGCTGTAAATCAAAAATAAAAAAAATAAAAAAATATATAATTGTAGAGCCAGAAGAGGAATTTATCGAAAAGGATATTCTTTGCTCAATTACTTTGTTTATTTTGAGTGTGTTAAAATTTTGTGCGGAAATATGTATCCTTCTGTTAGAAAGTTATTAAATCACACACAAGGGTAACAGATGAAACTTTTCAAATTCCCAGAGTTTTAACCTTGAGAATTAGTTTGTAATAGTTCAAAAAAATAAATGTTTTAAACTTTAAAATGATTTGACGTTACGCAGTACTAAATTGAGAGACATAGAATAATGCAGAACAACACTTTTGCTGTGTGTAACCAAGGTAACACGTTTATTTTATCTTCAGTTGAATCAGCCGTGTTCATATTTTCTCATGGTCAATATTAGTGACCTAGACATTGACGTAAATTAATGTCTACCAATTGGCTAGCAGCCTGCTCTCACTACACTCGTCATCCCGTCAATGCGGGCGTCATCGTTGGCTTGTCTCGCTATATCCATTTCTGGAGCTCGCTGACGTTCACGCGCTTCTCCTTGTTCGCCATTGCGATTGTGTCTGCGTAACCACATCTCGAAGTGACCATATGTGGTCTTTCCCACTTTGGAAACTGTTTGCCTGACCCTATCACACATTCGTCGGTATTTTGGCTCACACTTTCATATGCTGCTTTCGCCCGACCTCACAGCAGCGTCCCAAGTCGCAACTTCACCGCTGACAGATCTTGAACGCCACTCAACTGCGAAGAAGCCTTGAAGTCCTGCTCGAAGATCCATATGTCTCCATCAAAAAATGCAGGGCATAGGCTTTCCATTTGTCGGTAGGCAGCGACACCAAATGTAACAACAAAAGACAAGGGTCGGCAACAGATCGTTTATTACGGAAATCAACACGTATTTATACATATTTCACGTACATTATTATAGCTTATTCAATCAGACAAACACAGTCTTCTGATTGGTTGTTTCTGGTTTCTCGGAATGTTAAGCCATATATTTGCGAATCTTATTTGCCCACGTTAAGTCTGCTGTGATTGGTTGTTGAATCAGCCTTGTTCATATTTTGTCACGGTCAATACTAGTGACCTAGACATTGACGTAAATTAATGTCTACCAATTGGCTAGCAGCCTGCTCTCACCACAGTAGTAATTCCACATTAATTTGTTTATTAGATAAATTACACAGTGGAACAGTATTATTTTCTGGATAACGTTTCGAATACAATTCATTGTTCATAATCATATCAGTTATTATAGTAGAATGGGGTTAGTCAGACTGGTAGAGAATAAACACCTAGCAGTCTCTAGATTAGTTGACCCTAATAAGATAAGAAATCAGCCGTTCCACTTACTACATGCAATTATACATAACTTTACAATAGGATGGGATAAGATGACAGTTTTAAAATCCAGTAAAACAGGATGGAGGGAGAGGTTGACAATGGGAAATTTATTTAGTGGAATCAACTTAAAATACATGTAATAGGAATGATTCAACATCTGTCTCAGACATCTGGAAAATTCTACTACCCCAACGACGACAAATAGGAGAGAGTAAAGAAAACTTCAAAATGAAAGTTTTGAAATTGTCTAGTTATAATTGACATGATTGTGAACAGTAATAAATTGCGTTCGAGACTTTGTCATTCAGTAAATAATGATGTTTCACTGTGTGATATATGCAATAAACTAACTAATTACTGACATTTTACTCTAATTCATCTGATCCTTTTTAATTGGCTCGACGAGTGCCCATAATCTTTCATGTCGTAATCATACGATCTCCCCTATATCACCGTCGGAATAGCAATCAACTCGGTACTTATCATTCAGATACCAACCCAGGGTCTAGTGCGTGATTTCACTAAGTGGTTTCCTCAGATTGTATCCAGTCGACAAGTTTTTGACTGATTCATTGCCACAGTTCTTTCTTAATTATTCCTTTTGACTAGCCATCTGACATTCAGTATCGAATGAATGCAGTTGGTGATGAAAGACTGAAGTGGCCTGTTTGACGCCAGAGCTAAGTTGACATAAGAATAGAACTTGTGCATTATGGTAGAGTATAATTCCATTATGAGTAAAATTTATTTTGATAAAGTCCCACAGTGTCATACAGCAATATTTACTGATGACATTTCTAGCACAATTTGTCATTGCCATTCATAATCATATCAAGGCACTACTCACACAACTTTCTAACTTCGTTTATATAATTCCATTATTTTTCATCGCTTCACTTGATTGGTACTAGTATTTTCCATATTTCCGGTATGAGTGATGAGTCATTCCTATTGCACTTGTTGGATGTAGACTCAATGAACCAGGATTCAGTAATCGATCTCTCTCTCTACCCAAATAGATTACTTCTTAGAATCGCAACCCTCTCTCATCTTATTGTGTGGTTTTGTGATAATGCATGTAGTACGATTGCTGGGCTTTTTTCTAAATTACATATCTTCTCGGGGTCAACCATTCTTACTTTAGCAAAATCCTTATGTTCTGACAATCTGACTACCCCTGACCTACTAGTTTAACCTATGTAGTTGACGTAACCCAGAGCCATTGCAAGGTATTTTGTAAATTATACTGTTTTGCCTAATTGGGTCAACTGGGTCCTTTAACCTACAGAGCTTGTCTCTGAGTGCCACCCTAATTCCTGCTCTATTAGGAATCCTACGTAGGGTCTTAGATTTCCCTTCCTTATATAGTATAACAGTGGATAACTTATATTCTTTCTTATTTATTTTATCATTACTAGTTCTACAATTATTTTTATTTTGTTTTTGGCCTTTACTGAACTTCCTATTGAATTTAATAGGATAGTGATTTAACATCAACACCTTTTCTTCTATCTGTTTCATTTCATCGTTTGGGTCTTTTCTGTGCTACTTAGTGCTATGGTTCGGTTTGTTAGACACTTAACTAAGCCTGCCCTAACAGTTAACGAATGAGACCAATTAAAGTCTAAATATCTATTCGCAGAATGCGTTGGTATTTTACAAACACTCGTTTGCAGTTTACCTTCTTCTATTCGTTTTATTCTACAATCTAACACCACAGCTAATTCCCTATGTTCATTTTCCAATTCTAATGTGAATTTTATTCACTCTACTAGTAAGTTTATGTGTGTCAAGAAGCTAGAGATCCGTTCTGTTTTTAACACTGTGAGTGAAAGTGTCATCCACATATCTCCACCATATTAAATGAATTAGGAGCAATATTTTCTTAACTGTCCATAAATATATCTGCTACGATTGGGGATATTGGTGATTCCATTGCTACATCTTCTGTCTGTCTACATATTTTGCCTTGCAATTTAAAGACAATAGATGTGAGGCATGACTGAATTCCTAAAATAATTTCTTCAATAGGCAATTGAGGTGATTCGGTGAAAAGGTACTTTACCTAGTTAAATCATTCATTTGTTTTTTTATTGCTTTTTATTTAGTTAAACCAATGATTGAGTCAATACCCAATCAAATATTAGAATATGGTTATGGAATGACTGTCAGCTGTATTGCGACTGGTATGCCTACACCAAAAATTATTTGGATTCGTGATGGAAAGTCGCTGAATTTAGCAGATAAAAGTGTAAGCGTTGAAACATTCGAGTAAGTCAACTATTTTGAACCGATTAAGCTTTATGCAAATAATATACATGACCGAGAATATTATGAATTCAAACAAAATTCTTAGATTTCTCTGTTACCTTTCATACATCATAAAGCAATTTAAATTCTGCTGAATAAGTAAGAAACAGTTCGTCGGTGGCACGGTGGTAGAGTACTCGCTGCCCACGCCTTATGTGACCCAGGGTTCAATCCCCAGCCACCGACGCACTCCTTAACCTCGTTAAGCCTGTAATAAGACTGGTAAAGAGGGAAAGCTGGGAATGAGGCTAGCAACCCCACCCCGCTGCTACCGAGACTTCAAAGCTCTAGCTTAAAGCTCACTATGTTCCCTGGGGGAACGTAAAGAAATGAAAAAACAACCTCGAAACAAGCAGTTATTATATAAGTGGCCACAGTAAAAGGCAGAAGTATATATCAAATGATCAGGTCCATCCTTAGAAGTTTATAAGCCGGCTGCCGTAAATCAATACTTACGTGGCAGTTTTTCTATAGTTTCAATGAACGACACCTTCGGAGTTTTAATCCCTGTGAAAAAGTCACTATTAACCACTACAGATTCTGGTTAACCATCCTCTTAGTGATGTCAGATAATGATCAGACCTTTAAACTGTCGAATCCCTACAAACCGACAGTTGACGAATATCGTTATTTCAACCCAATAGATCTTGACGGAAGGGCTGAAAAGCAGTTAGCTAATACGCTTAAGGAAGTGAGAAAAAGTGGAGTAATCTCAGAGGCAGCCTATAACGTCATAAACCTACTGGAAGTAATACTTCACGTCTGTAATGTCTACCCAAAATACACAAACCAGGACTTCCTCTTCGCCCAGTCCTGGATATGTCAAACTTCACCTACCATGAAGTGGCAAAGCGGTTAGGTGAACTCCTCCAACCGTCACACAAGATAGTAGTAAATCATAGTGTTAAAGACGTTTTTGAATTTATTGCTAACGTGGAGGATATCAATGTAAATGGGAAGCAAATGCTATCCTTAGATGTAGCATCACTGTTTACCAATGTACCACTTATGGAGACTGTGGAATTCATATGCCGACAGATACTAGAAAAACAGATCGACATCGGAATTCCGATTATTAGTCTAAAAGAGTTGCTTTTAAGATGTACTATGAATGTACACTTGACATTCAACAACCTTTATTACAAGCAAATCGACGGTATTGCCATGGGTTCTCTGTTGGGGGCAATTTTGGTGGATTCCTTTCTTGCTAAGATTGAAATGGTCCATTGAGACAAGTAATAGAGAAAACCGATTCTTATTTTCGTTATGTTGATGATACCTTTATTATTCTTGATGTGAAAGCTGACAAGAATGAAATGTTAAAAAACTTTAATGATGCACATCCATCGCTCATCTTCACTTGTGAAGAAGAACATGATGGTAGATTACATTTCCTCGACGTCCAATTGAGCAGAAGAGAGGATGTTTCACTCAAGAGAGGTGTCTATAGAAAACCTACATCTGTAGGACAATATACACATTTCCTCAGTTTTGTACCAATCCAATACAAAATCAATTTAGACAGATACCTCACGAATAGAGCAAGATGTATCTGTACAGATGACTCCCTACAAAACGAGCTAGGATACATCCAAAATACTTTGGTGCAAATGGGTTATCCTAGTAGATTTGTAAGAAGACACATGAATACCAGGTAAAATAAAGAAAAACTGACAACAGTTAAAAAGAAACAACTGTTCATGAAACTGCAATTTAATGGGGACGTGGCTAGCGAAGTCTTACATCAGAGATTATCGAGAGCGATGAAACGGGCTTATACTGCCACCACCCTTTGTTTGTCATTTTCCAGCCGACCAATTTTGATTGCTGAAGTAAAAGATAACCTACCTAGCTGTGTTACTTCCATGTGTATCTATAAATTTAGTCGCTCCTGTGGAGAAAGCTATATACGGCGAACAACTAGACAGCTTAACAAACGCATTAATGAGCATCTTCCATCATGGTTCAGAAAAGGTCAAATAAAATTCATACGAAGTTCTATTTTGGCTCATTTGATTGATAGCGATCACCAAGTGGACAAAAATAATGCCTTCAAAGTTATCTATCTCATTCCATTGAGTCTTTCGAACGGAATTCGAATCCGTCTTTTACACATAGCTGAAGCAATGGAAATTCGAGAGAACAATCCTAGTCGTCTCTCCCTTGGCCTAGGTGAATTCTATTGAAAACCCTCCCACCCTTTCTTATCTCCCATCTCCTCAGTACTTTTATGATATTTATTTAAACTCTGATTATCGTTCCATTTCACCTTTTAAGATTTGACCTAATTTCATTATAATAAAGGTTTTTGTATTTCCCAATGAATGAAAAACAAAACGATATTGTTTTTACTGACGTTTCGCTATTTAATGCTAATAGCTTTCTCAAAGTATTATTAAACCGGAATTTACAAAATCTCAGCATATATATAACAAAGAGTTAGGGGGTGAGAAAAATATAGACTTAGTTCAACTTAAAAGGACATATTGAAAGTCAAAATAACAATGAAGATCGTTCAAACCAAATATCAAAGGTAATAGTGTATCTGTTATTATATCAAAATAAAGTTTACTAACTTGATCATTATTCGTTAGTCTGGGGTCATTTTTGGTTGTCAAGTTGGAGAATAGGTAAAGGTAACAAAATCAAGCGTAGATTGTTGGATTCTATCAGTGTGTAGAATTATGAAAGTAGTGTGTGTTTACATAGTGAACTTACTTATCACATTTGTGTTGATTTTGCTACTTCATGGGGGAGGAGGTTGTTGTAGCCAGGTCAGATTCTGTTTTAGTCCATCATTCCTATTCGGGCAATTTGGATTCCACTTGATATGAAAGGCTTCTGATATTAGACGTTCTTTGTGGTTTCTGAAGTTTTTCTGGATTATTTCAATATTGTCAAAATGAATTTTGTGGCCTGATTCTATAGCGTGTAGACCTATGGCTGATGATTTTTGAAGTCTTTCTAGTTCAACTGGATTTCTTGGTGGTCGAAGAGATGCTCTACGGTGTTCATTTCTTCTTATTTTGATTTCTCGAGATGTTTGTCCAATGTAGATCGCATCACATTCCAAGCATTTTATTGTATAGACACAATTAGATAGAGAATCTTTCGGGATTTTGTCTTTTATATGGACAAGGTTGTTTTGAAGTGTTTCCGATGTTTTGAAGAAAACTCTAATGTCGAGCTGATTGATTACTCTTCTGATATCGTCTGACGTCTCTGCTTTATATAGAATGACGACTGTTGAAGTCCATGTTTTCGGAATGCATTTTTGGCCACACTTAATAATACTTTGAGAAAGCTATTAGCATTAAATAGCGAAACGTCAGTAAGAGCCACAATATCGTTTTGTTTTTCATTTATTGGGAAATACAAAAACCCTTATTATAATGAATATCATATACCCAATGCCCAAATTTTTTCAAACCGTTAAAAGTGAACTTGGTTTGGACATATATATTTTGACCTAATTTGTTTATTGTTAAATTGTCTACATATATACATATACTATCTCTGTTATTCTTATCGCCGCCTGCATAAACCTTATTATCAATATTTTGTTATCATTATAATCATCGTTATTAACTACGTTCAAAACATTTACCACATTATTATTATTATTTGATCCACAAAATCACTGTCATTGGTTAAAATTTTTATATATAAGTCTATGTAAATTAGAGTGAAGCTTGAAGAAGATCTAATTGAAAACAGTATTGTTCGCTTATATGTCTTGTTCTAATATTAAAAATGGGAATATTTAAAGATATTTCAGTTTAGACTACGGATTGATATCAGTTAGAGAATCACTGAGAACCATGGAGTACTGTGTTTCATTTTCGTCCTAGTCTGGGATTCATAGTCAATACGCACCTATTCGATTTCAAATCCCCTAGCGACTTGCTACAAGACGAAGTTTCCTGGAATTCTAATGAGAAGTCGGGAATAGTGGGATGCATCTAGTTTGGGAGTGAAGACGGATTTCCCACCGATGTCACGCTAAAACCACAAATTGGTAGAAGTTAGAATTCATGTGTTGGCCATTGAATTGGATCCCACTGACTGGATGGTTTACGAACTTGCCTTGTAATCGGAAGGTCCTGGGTTGTAAATCCTGGTGGTGTTGGTGCAGACTACGGTTGAGTCGCAAACTATGCTGACGAATTTGGGCTGTCCAGTACTCTCTGGTTATTTTTCAATGGTTCTCTAACCAATATCAGTCCATGGTTTGAATTAATCCATATCTTTGTTGAACCTAAAATAACCTAAGGAATTCATTAACTTTGCAATTATAGTAATAAGAAGAATAACAATAATAAAAACCCATATTTTTCATATTATTTCCAAAGTAATCAAATCCACTACCTATTAATCATCACTAGTATGTATTGCTTAAATATACGTAGTTTACTGAACTGTTGTCACAACATAGCACTAGTGGAGAGATATTTAAATATGGCGCATTCAATTGTCAAGCGTTTAACCTTTTAAACACGGAATAAAAACACTTATCACGAACAGAAGAAAAAAGAAAACGAAAAACAGATACAATGTCACTTGATGATGCATCATACTCTGTTAGCCAGTTAGTTCAATTAGTCACTTTTTTCGGGATATTTTCGTCTATACGTGATACACATTGCACATCGGTAGATTTGCCTTTTGTTCGAATACTTTACTTCTCTAGGATGAAAAAATTGAACTAGTTAATAGTAGTAGACAAGAAATTAACATCTGTGTGTGTGTGTGTGATTACATAGTGTGGTCTTTAATCTTTTTTGTATTTAGGTTATTTTGAAGACGAAGAACTCAGGAGCTGTCTCTCTCTCTCTCTCCTTCTGTCATACACACACCCTCACATCCAAAAAATTCATTTCTGATACCCCTTTTCATCATATGCATATTAGGGGAGTTATTTTTAAATTAAAAGTTAAACTTTTTTTAAATCCTATTAGAATATGTTTAATCAGTCTTTAAGAACCAATCATCTATGTACTCTCGAATGACAGAGATGTTCTTCTTCTCTTCCTCAAAATGTAAACAGTTAGAGTAGACGTGGAGTTTTTGCTTTGTATCCTCGTGGGTGTGGGTGTGTGTGTACGAAACAGACTGACGGTCGTCTATCCTGCCTTCTGTTTACACATTGTATCAATAGTAGTAGGCATAATAATCTATAAAGTGACATTTTATCTACATCAGTTCAGAATTACAGATCATATATATATATATAATTACTTCAGTTTATTTCCTTTATGATTAATTTTTGTCTTCTAAACAATTTAAACACTGATTGTTGAATTATTGTCTAGACGTTCATTGGGACATGTGGAATCCATCCTGGAAATACACAATTTAATATTGATTGATACTGGTGAATATTGGTGTTATGCAGAGAACGCTTTAGGCATTGCTAAACAAAGATTTCTTTTAAAAGGTAAGCATTTTATGATAAAATGAGTGTTGATTATTTTTGTTTTAAATTTTTTAATACCTCTATGTAATTAGTATTATTCCATTGGGTTCTGAGTGGAACATACGTCGGCTTCAGCAGCATATCTCCTTTTTCTTCTAATCTCTGCTGTCTTCTTCAACTGGCTGGTCCCCCCCCGATTGACCATAATCTCTTATCTCCTCCTCCTTAGCAGCATACGACCTCCTTTATGTCACCTTTGCATGGAAGACCCACTCATCGCTTCCTATTGGGATTCCGCTCTATCGATGGCCTTCACTGAGCATGATGTCATTCGACGGCCCTCTCAGTGGCGTGTGCCCGATCCATCCATCTGCATTTTCTCCTACATATTTGTTAAGCGGTCGCTTCATTAGTAAGAATACCAATTATTCCCTTTATGAATTTGAATGAAGCAAGAACAACAGTTTTACAGAATAAGACGATGGCACCATCATTTATTTCGTTGGCTTCTCATCAGCTGCTTACAAGCCAAAGTCATTATTAAGTATATCTACAGAAACAATTATAACAGATTTTCAAAGCGTTCATTTTAAACAAAAATCAAACGTTATTTATAATAATATATATAATAACATTAAACGCTATTCCGAACAGTAATAATCATACAAAACGGAAACTTTTAACATTACGTAATCAGATGTAAGATAGGGTGAAAATATCTAGTTACCAGGGCAAAGAAAGACTGATAACTGCTTCTTTCTGAACGCATAAATCAGGTTTCAGGTGCTTGATGGAGATTACTTCGGCAAACTTGACGATAACTGAACTCTCTTGCCTACTGATAATTTTGGACTATCTTGCCACGTCCAACTCATAACCCGTGTCAAGGAGACACCTGGCGATGGCACTGTTTAAAGTATCTGTTCCCTTTAGAAATAGGCTTTTTGGTACATGTTCAGAAAATCTTTCAATGTAACTGATCCCACAGATACATGTAAATTTGTGTATACAGTTGGAGTTAACATGTGGAGGATATGCATCGATTTCTTATTGCACCAAAGAGCAAGTTGTTTTTATAGATGGGAACCAGCTTACTCCTGCAGGATAGGCTCTGCCTACTGACTTTCTCAGCCTTCTGTTGACAATAGCTGTAATATTTTCACCTTTATAATCAAGTTGAATGTGTAGATGGTCTTTTTCTCCACTGTGATTTCTTAACATTTAAGCCTTCCAGATTTTCCGTAGTTGTTAATGAACATTTGAGGGTAACTGTTGCTTTTCAACATTTTTCGAGAAACATAAATTCTTCCTCTCATTTCTCTATAGTGCATAATCTCCTAGTTCTATAGTATAGAGTCTTGATTAGTCCATGTTTAAAGCTATTTGCACAAAAAACTATTAAATGTGTAGGTATTTTATCCTTTCCATGTAGACTTTCGGTAAATTGACTTCTGGAGACTATCATCTTCCAAGCGCTGCATGGCAATGTTGAGGAAGCAAAACTTTCCATCATTTTCATGTTCCATAGTAAATTCAAAATTCAATATAATATAATACTTCATTCACTTATCTAGGGAGCATTGTCTCGACTACAGGAGGAGTGGACGAGGATGTCAAATCGAGCGAGAATCGGGAAGGCGAGAAACACATTCATTAGCCTGAAATCAATCTGGAAATCTTCGTCATTCAGCATCACCAACAAAATTCGGATTTTCAATACAAACGTAAAGTCAGTTCTTCTATACGGATCAGAAACTTGGCGGGCGGGTCACAAAGAATATTTCCAAAAGGCTGCAGACCTTTATTAACAACTGTCTTCGCTCAATACTGAAGATCAGATGGCCGGGCCGGAAAGAATCACCAACAAGGAATTATGGGAACAAACAAAGCAAGGACCAATCGCCCAACAACAGCCAATATGCAGGAGAAAGTGGAGATGGATCTGACACTCACTGAGAAGACCACTGGGTAACATCACGTGCCAAGCCCTCGAGTGGAACCCGAAAGGGAAGCGGCGTGTGGGACGTCGGTGCAAGTGTGACATGGAGGAGATCGTGTGAAGAGGAGTTGAAAGAATGTGGACTAACATAGATGCAGGTGAAAAGTACAGCAGAAGACAGAAGCGAGTGGAGGCGTGCAGTTGAAGCCCTATGTTCCACTAGGAACCCAAGGGAGCAATAATAATAATATATGCATCACTGAACAATCTGATTAAGCGGGAAGCATGATTTTCATTGTTGCACACTATAAATGTGTCATCAACATATCGACAGTAGGAAGTTGTTTCGTCGACCGCATCCTACAACTTTGTTCTTATAAAGTTGGATATGAATATATCTGTTAAACTTTTGTTCTCCCTTTATTCAAAAATAAGTCTGTTTGAGTAAAATTGTAAAAGTAAATGGGATTTCACCAAAAAAAACAACTTCGAAAAATACATTTAAAAATGATATGGCATTCCATGCTTTTATTACTACTGAAATCGTTAGACGAGTATGCGATAACATCCTAGATATCCATATATGATTTACAAAAACGCTTTAGAATGTTGCTTACTCAACTGGTATAAAATGGATCCTTATTTATTCTTAAGCTTAATTTGCATTTCCCGTTAATTGATTGTGTTAGAACAAAGTTCAACAGATTCTCTAGACTTGTTGACAACTAGTAGGGATACTTTGAAGATGCCTATAAATTAATGTGATGTCATTTTACATGAGAATGACTAGCAGTGAAGTCTACGATGGGTAATTTTGTCCTGTTTAGGACCCGTTATCTGGATTTATATATCACCCAAGAATGGGCTTTTTTCAGTCCAATGACGTTTGAAACGTTGAGTGCAGCATCTTCGTCTTAGTGGGTTTGAAGGTAAATCCAGATGACGAGTCTTACGTAGGACTAAATACCCATCCTGGATTCGACTACTAGTCCCCACCAACCAAAATAATACAAAATGAGTCATTTTGATTCTTTGGATGATTGCAGTGCGACTAAAGCTATGTATTGAGTAATATTATTTTGGGTAATTTTAAGAAAGAACTGAAATATGTCAAAAAATACTCTTTGATGTAAAATTCTCCTCAGGTGTTGGTTTGCAGGGATTTGACTGGTTTCAGGATTTCATCATGGACCAAAATCGGTAAAAGAACCACTGAAAAACCTGGAAGGATTCGTGGACAGCTGTCTCGTCGGCCTAGTTTGAAACTCTTCATCAGTACGCATCCACCACAAGGGGTTCGAACCTAGTAATTTCTGGTTACAAGTCAAGCTAGCTCGTACACCATTAAGCCACTGAGATTCGATCCAGTGGTCCGTGAATTCCAACTTCTGGCAATTCATGATATGGCATGACCACTAGCCAGTGTCATCGGGGAGTATTTGTTCTCACGCACACACACACACACAAACCGCTGCACCCATACTTATATGTTATAAACCGATGCCGATCAGCTAATTTGGGTTCAAATAGCGTTGAAGGATAACTGGAACTGTGATGTTTTAATCGTCAGAGTAATTTCGATTTAACATTCGATCAGATGTTTTCTTGACACTTTATGAAATTTGAGTTTTCTTCTTCAGAAAGTTATAGACTTTAGCTCTCCAACGCTTGCCGGTCCTAAGTGTCAATAAAGGTTTTTTCTATCAACAATGAGGCATGCTTACTGTATAATAAGCGTAATTTTTACGGTTATATGCTCAAAGATGTGTTCACTCTGCCGTGTTCAAAGCAAAACTGTTGAATAAGAAATATCAAACTGTAAGGAATAACATATTAATTGTTTGGAGGCTATCGGCAGGAAGCCTCACCTGGCCTAGGTTTTGTGCTAGTTGGCACTCATTAGTCAGCAAGGCGTATCTGCAATCAGCTTGAAGGAACTCATGTCCTTTCTGAGATTCGAACCTACGTCACCCAGTGCCGCCTGCAGTCAGAGACGTTACCACTTAGCTATTCAGGCTCGCAATTAAGGATTAACAAGTTAATAATTTGTTTCATTGCTTAAAATTTAACTGTCACCAAGTTAGATTTCATCACCGATACTAGTCAGGAAACTAAAATCAGTGAAAATCAAGGATCACTGGGAATAATCTGTCCAGTAAACCCATAATACCAGGAGGTATTCTGTGTTCAAGATAATCACTTCCTCTAAGAAACCTCCATTTAGCATTCTTACCTCTTAACACTGACGACAAGTATTTGCTTACAAGACAGAATAGGAGAGTTAACTGATAGCATTCGATTGTCAAAGCCCTTGTAAATTCTTTCAGAAATGATATTTACAAGTTAGTTATTAATTAGCACTGTGGATGTGAAATTTTCATAGTTCTGAAAGATTTGGCAATTGATTCCCATTCCAACAGCATATCACTTGGGAATGAGTTAAATCCATCACTAAAACCTGAAAAATAATGTAACGACTAAAATTGTTTGGTTGTCATCTGACCGCAGGATCCTAATCTTTGCGTCCTACTGTATATCTGACCAAAACTTCCTTGAGACATACACGGTTACAAAGAACCTCAAATGAGGCAAAAGGACGGTTATTCGTCGTCAGATCTATCTAGTTCTGTTCAGCAATAACATCAAAGTGTCAAAATTATCACATCACAGATATCAGGCAGATATAAAACAGCCAAGAGAACTCCTAAGTACAAAACAAGTACTGCAGAACAAAATTAGTTAATCAAAATTCATCCACAAGAAGTATCGTAAAATAAAGCAGAATATTCTCAATAAGGTGAGATCGAATTTCACTCAACAACAATTCCTGCTGACACTCCAATGTCAGAATGACCTTCATTCATCCAAACAAAATCGCATTTGTGAAACCAACACAGCGGTTAGGACTCTCGCTGACCATGCACATGGTCCGGGGTTCGATCCCCTGCCGACGCACACCTGATTTCTATGGTCGGGCTGCAATATTTGAGCTACCGATATCACATGCTGAAAGTTCCATACTTGTACTTGTAATACTGTATGGTTTCGAGCTATAATAAAAAATCATCCATCACAGAATCAC